AGACTATACCACAGGCAGCTTTTCCTGGGAAAGGGTCCCTTTGGGATGGATGGGCTGAGTGCAGCATGTGGGGCACCTTGGAGAGAGGAACCCCTTGAAAACCTATTCTATTCTATTCTATTCTATTCTATTCTATTCTATTCTATTCTATTCTATTCTATTCTATTCTATTCCATTCCATTCCAATCCAATCCAATCCAATCCAATCCAATCCAATTTTTTCTTCCCACCTGCACCCATGCCTGCAGGTCTGGATCTCATCCACTCCCCTCTCATCCTACAGACAGATTCACCTGCTCTCATGAGGGAACCTGGGTGGATCAAGATGGCCAGGCGAGGATTCCTACCTGTTTGCCAGGTCAGTAAAAACTTCTGACTTTATCTTGTGTTTACTGATTCATGCTTACAGTCGTACAAAGCCAGGACAACATGTGGGGAGGGGAGTGAGGATAATGGTGTCAGTGAGGGAGGACAGGGAAATCTATCCAGGAAGACTTTAATAAAGTGAAATCGAACAGTGATGGTGTAGGAAAGAAAGAGACAAGCCAGGACAACAGACAGGGTAGTGATCTTCTTGCATTTCTCCACAGTTTGTGGGAAGCCGGTCAATCCTGTTGCTGAACTCCAGCGGATCCTGGGCGGCAAGCCAGCAGGGAGAGGCAGTTTCCCTTGGCAGGTTCTCACTCACATCGGTGGACGCGGGGGCGGTGCACTCCTGGGTGATCGCTGGATCCTCACCGCTGCCCACATGATCTTCCCCAAAGATGCAGCAGAGAACAGTGTAAGCCTGGACCGGCTAGCAGAGGAGGCTAGCGTTTTCCTCGGCCACACCAACGTAGAAGAGCTCCACAAGATGGGCACCCACCCTGTACGTAGGATCTTCGTCCATCCAGATTACAACCCTAAAGATAGTACCAACTTTGACGGGGACATAGCCCTGCTCGAGCTGAAACACCCAGTTACCCTGGGACCTACAGTAATGCCCATCTGTCTCCCAGATATTACCAACACCACATTCTACATGGATGGGCACGTGGGCTATGTGAGCGGCTTTGGTGTGGAAAAAAGCTTTCTTTCAAATGATTTGAAGTATGTGAGCCTACCAGCGGTTGCCCCAGAGAAGTGTCAGAGATGGCTGGACAGCAAGAGGACAAATAGGCCTACAGTCTTCTCTGAGAACATGTTCTGTGCTGGCTACCTCACAGCCAAACAGGATACCTGCCAGGGGGATAGTGGGAGTGCCTTCACGGCATTAGACACAGAAAGTGGTCGCTGGGTGGCTACCGGTATCGTTTCTTGGGGTATCGGCTGTGGCCATGGCTATGGCTTCTACACCAAGGTTCTCAACTATTTGGACTGGATCAAAGGGATAACAGGGGAGGTATAGGCTCTAAGCGCTGCTGTCCTACCAGCTGAAGAATCACTGACAGCATATAAATTTCCAAAAATGGCAAATCATATCTAGAGCTTTTGGTGATGTCCCAAAGGATTTTCAAACATGCAAACCTTCCATCATGAGCACTTCTGAATGCCACCGTACTGCTTGATGAATTCTTGGTGGTATCAAAACTTAGCAAAGCTGCTGTACCGTTGGCAGCTTGTGGATACCTTTGTGGACATTCTGTTTCTTCCAAATCTTGTTACTGGATGAAGCCTTAATAATATCAGGAGATCTCATGGCAGAAAACATGTTATTGCTTGAAGTGCTGGCAATATCGTCAGACTATTGCAGTCTACTTTCATACTCTATATTATAGCATGGAAAGGTTGCAGGGCAGCAGACTTTCTTGAAGGATGTGATACTTCATGCTGAGTACACTGAGCATGTGCCCATTGGCATCAGTGAGATTCTATGAATATTAAAATTGTTGCTGGAGAAACCACGTGTGTTATTTTTTTCTGTCTTTGTTTTTAACAAGTACCAAATACTCCCCATCACTGAAAGCAACTGAAGGACTATATGTAGGGATTCCTTTAACTACTTAAGGTGTTTCCAGTTCCGCAATGGCATGTGGCAGTTGCACACCTGTCAAACAAATACCGTTAGATTACTCAGTCTGAAACTCCAGGTGGCTTCAAGGGAGGCAAAAATCAGTTGTTTGTGTGATGCCACATTCAAAAGACAGGGAAGACAATAACATGGAGAAGAGAACCCAGGAACTTTTACTGATAAAAATTTGAGGATGGGGTTTTTTATACTGTGTGAAATGAAGCTCTGGCTGCAGGGCTGCAGCTCTAAAATGATGCTGACTCAGAGAGAAGAGGACCTCTCTTGTGTTCTGGCTATTCTCTGCAGTTGTCTCTTGACTAGTTTTTCTATTGCAGAACAAAATACCTTCTGCTTGTGAGGCACCACGAGAACTGAAGTCTGGAAGGGCTTGACAGGAGAGCCCTGGGGTTGAAATCATAGTTGCCTTCTTGCACTGTTTTCTGTGAGATCCAGCTCCTGATCTTCTCAGGTGTCAGTAGCTCTCATTTTCTGTTGAAATAATATACCCTGGAGAGTGATCTCCAAGATTCCACATCTGATATAAGTTCATCTGTGATCTCCAGGGATCAGAGTTCTGTTGATTCTTCCCATGAGCATGGAAAACAAGGTTCCCAGTTGTACAGGAACAATGAATAAACCCTGGTCTAGGGGAGGGAAGATAGAATGAGACAAGCAACTGGGGGGTATTCCAGGTGAAGAACAGGGTATTTCAAGGATTTTCAGTGAGTGCAGGTGACAAGAACAACAAAAGAAGGAACCCTTTAGTTCTTGTAAATAGTTGGAAAAAATTACTGAGAAACCATCTCAAAAAATCTCCTGCTTTGCAGGAGACTAGGAAACTTTGGGAAGCTGAGGCATTGAAAATGGATGAGTTGCCCCAAAGCCCTATAGGAATCTGTGACCCTCCTAGGAATACCAATCCGAGCTAAATTAGCGACTTTCCTGTCTCCTACTCCTGGACCATTCAGCCCCATTTATGTTTCTCTTCTCCTCTGCTGTCCTGAATTGATTTCGGCAGTTTGTCTTCCTGTCCTTTTCTCCTTTTCCACAAAGATTGGCATTAATCAGTGAGCTAGTGAGTAATCGTGCGATGCTGCTTGCCCAAGTGGCTTCGTGGTCATAGAAACTAAGGAAACATCTTACCTTAGTTGGAAGGTCACTTTTTTTCAGAACTTACAGTGGATTAATTTTCCCCAAATGGTACTTTGCTGAGTTATTTCTACTGCTGAAGTATCTACCACATATTGAAGAAGAAGCTTCCTAATAGGCAGACATAGATAGCAGTCTGTAAGATCTGCAGTGGCTGTTGCTCGTGATTACCCCAGATGTCTGGGCATGTCTGTGTGATTTATGAAATTCAGATACGTACTGTGAAATTATAAAATATTGTCACAATGGCGCCACTGCATCATTATTGCTTCTTTGCCAGGGTGTAGTCTCTTCTTTGCACAAGAGGAACATGGGCTAAGATTGCAGCTTGGACTAGTTACCAGGGATGGACACTTCCCTGTGGTGCTCCAAAAGATAAAGCTGAGTCCACCCCCTTAGCAACGAGATGTAAAACTTCATGATAGATTGAAGTCAGCACACACAGATATAAAAGTAAAAGGCATTCAACATCCTGTGCACCACAGTTCCTCGGGAACGTAGTGTAAGATCCATGGTTACTAGCCCAACAACAAAATAATCTTTTCTGTGTTACACAAAGTTGAAGGTGGCTGAGTGCAGGAATCTCCATGAAATCTCCCAAGAGCTGCACAAATCTCCTCATCACTTTCTAGACTCTCAGAAAAACTTAGGCTGGAAGAGGAGGCCTCTAGTCCAATGTACTGACAGCAGGGCCAACTTCAGAGCTACAGGGCCTTGCCTGAAGACAAGAAGTTACAAAGATGTCCAGGGACAGAGATTCCCCAGTCTTTTCTGGCATGTGTTCAGTGCTGACCTGCACCCTGGGAAAAAGCCCAACTGAAAACTCCCTTATTGCAATTTATGTCTGTCGTCTCTTGTCCTGCCACTGTTCACCTTTCTGAAGAGTCTTGCTCCATGTATTCTCTAACCCTCCTTGAGGTACCTGAATACGGCGGTTAGATATCCCTCTCAGCTCCCTCCTTTTCAAGCTGAACAAACACAGCTTCCTCCATCTCTCATCATATGCCATCCACACCAGTTCCCTGACCACCTTAGTGGAAGGATATCTGTGAGTGATACAGGACTTTCTGGAGCAGAAGACACCCCTAATGCACATCAAGTAATTTGCTCCCACAACACTACCTTCTCTAAGTCAAGCAAGCTTTATTTCCTATCTAACACAACATGGTTTGAAAAATAAAGCCCTAAGGACAGGTGAATAGCTTGATTTAGAAGTCTGAAGTCTTCATTGCTGGTAATGGTCGGTCAGTGAGGTGCAACCATCTCAGAAGAACTTTATAAAGTCTCTTACGCAGACAGGTTAGGTAGCACAAGTTACAGCTTGACAAAAGGCGGCAGTGCAGTGGGTCAAAATGTGACTAACACTTGATCTAGGGAGTTTTGAGGAGAACTGTGTTTAGACTGAGAAGAAGAAACACACACACAAACCACATTGCACAAAAGGCAATTGGGACATTCTTTAATGCTGTTAGATATTCTGAACAATACAGAAAATACATAAATCAGAAACCAGGCATTGGGAACCATCAATTATTCTCTCTTGTCTTCATTGAACTATTCCTGTCAGGTAGCATGGCTAGGTCTTCTCTGGGAGATAAAAAATGGCATGGAAAAAAAAAAAAAGAGAGAAAGCAGAGGGAGCTTCTTATGCAGAATAGCATCTTCCTCTTATGCTACTATGAGCAGAAAAAAAGAGAATTTCCCTTCCCAGGCACAATGATGGTGGAGAAACAGACACTTATTCCTGACTCAGCACAGACACAGTGAGTAGGCCCACTATATACACAGGGTGAACAGGATCACAGCCAACCTGAACATGTAGCTGTCGCCTGTAGGAAGAGTGACCGTGCTGAAAGAAGAGCTAGTCCTGCCCAGCTTCTGCATTCTCATGCTTACTCATGGTCTGTGTAATCCAGTCCAAATAACGCACTACCTTGGTGTAAAGGCCAAAGGTACCGCATCTTGGTCCCCAGGAGATCAGCCCGGCCGCATAGTACCGTCTCTCATCAAAAGGATCTTGAATAGCGTAGGCTCCACCACTATCCCCCTTACAGCTGTCCTTGTCCCCACCAGCACAGATCATGTTGTCAGTGAATTGATAAGCACTGGAATCAGCAGAGCCCTCTGGTTTCACAGATCGGCACTTATCCATGTTCACCACAGGGATCCGAGCCTTCCAAAGATATATAGGCAGCCTTCCTTTCTCTCTCTGGCCCCAGCCAGCAATGTAGCCCAGAGTTCCTTCTTGTAGCTCATACTCAGGTGATTTACCAGGGAGACAGAGGGGTGAGATGTTTGGGCCCATCTTCACAGGATCCCTCAGCTTCAGTAGAGCGATATCGTTATCAAAATCGGTCCTGGTTTCTGTGGGCTGCTTCTTCCAGTCAGGATGGATGAATGAAGCCTCTGAGATCAGCTGTGTGGCCTCCTGGTCCAGAGATGCTCTACTAACGTTAATTACCCCAGCATACATGGTGGGCCTGTCGTATGCTTCCAGCACATGGGCTGCAGTCATTACCCATCTGTCAGAGATGAGTACGCCACCTCCTCTCGGGTGATAGAAATACACCTGCCAGGGAAAGTTGCCCTTTTCTGCAAGCGTGCCTCCAAAAATCTTTGCTTTCTCTCGGACCGGATTACTGGGCACCCCACAGACTGGAAAGAAAAGGAAAAAAAAGAGGAACCAGATGGGAGAATTAGCAGTTACAAACAGGCACCGCTGAAAAGCCCTCCTTCCTGTGTCCTCTAAATAACTTTTGATTCTGAGTAACTAAAGTTTATGGTCTGTGTCATAGAGTTTGCAACTAGTATATACAGAGAAATTCAAGAAAATTCAAGTAAAATCACTAATAACATTCAATTTAGGCTGAAGATACTCATTCTCAAATTCTTATTCTGGAAAGCAGTTGTCACCCTGCCAGCACTGGCTATGTTGAAACTCACAATTTAATTGCTTTCCAGTTATCATTTTTCTTTTGCTGAATTATGTCATGTAGGTGAAGCAATTGTCTTTGAAAAAAAAAATTGCTTAAGTTCTCAGAAATATAACATTGCTTTTTAAAATTACCTTTTTTGTGTGTGGACTCTGAACAGTCTCAGGTTAAGCATTCAGGTTTGTCACTGAAATTTTACCATTTTTCCTCTCCATTCTTTTATTCTGCTGTCCTAGTTTCACTGGGATAGAATCTTAGGCCAGCCATGGTACACAGGCCATGAGCAGTTCTGAGTCAGTGAGGAGCTTAAGCTGGGAAGGACAAAAGCCGGGGCAGCTGACCAGAGTTGGCCGACAGGTCATAAACGCCAAGCTCATCATAAAGGGGGAAGTTTGCTTCTCCCCCTTCTCCTCTCAAGGGCTGCCATCCCTGGAGTGGCTCATTTATCACTCTGCTCATGAAGACTACTTTCCCATTTATTGTGATTGCTGTACGTTCACTGCACTCAGTATAGCTTTCTATACTGTATTTTGGCATCAGTATTATTAGTTTTGCTGTTTCATTTAAAGCCGTAGGTATCCTCTCCTCTTCCTGATCCCTCTTCCCTGCTGGGGAGGGGTCACTGGGTGATAGAGCAACTGCTATAGTTTAGTCCCACATACAGGCTAAGCATAGACATATGTATGTCTTTATATATCTATCCTGAGTTTTTATATAAAATCTTAAGCAGTAGGTTAAAGGAGCTCTTATCTGTGGGTTTTCTGAGTGCACAGATGCTCTGTGCTTTTTGAGTAAAATGTTCTATAAGGTTTTGTAGAATGTGAGCACTAAGGGCATGAATAAGGTCAGTCATTCTGACACAGTGGAAGACCTTTCCCTGTAGTGCTGCATTGTATAGTGCTGTCCACTTGGCACTGCCCCCAGGAGAGATCTGAAGAGAAGCTACGTTTCCCAGCGTAGCTTAGGAGGGAGTGAAGGTCCAGCATTGTCAGACATCTCTTCTGACCTGTCAGTATTTTCACTGCCTGCAATGCAGACATAGATCTGAAGCACTGAACAACTTGAGAATGTGCACATGTAAAGGTGGGGAAACTAGTGCAGAGACATATTGATACTTGAAGAGGTCATGTTCTACCAGACGTGTTATCATGTTGCCCACTTTCGTTTCCAGTTTTCTTCTGTTACTTCATCTCACCTTTCTTTTGGGGTCCACAACTTTCAGAAATACCTTGTCCAACATGATTTAAACAACATAGAAAGGGTTGAAAACCAGAGAGATGAAAGAAGCAATGGTCTTCATATGCTGCGTGTACGCGTACAGTTTTTGGCAGTACCTGGGACACACTTTGGTAGCTTTGTTCCCATCTCCTCATTGAGCCATTCTCCACTGGCTGAGCACTGATACACCACTTGGAAAACACAAGAAAAAAGAATGCTGTAAGGATGCATTCAAGACAAAGAGAGGGTAAGTAGCATCACTGTATAAGATGATGTATTAACCTTCTCATTTCTGAAGCAAGCACAGCTTGGTTAACATTGCTGAGCTCTCCCTAGGAGTACATGACCCTGCACCTATTTTGGAGGGAACAAATAGATTTCTCCACCAGAAACATGTGCTAGATGTGACAAAAAGCTCCACGGTTCACACACCAGGCAAATGGAGAGAGGATTTGCTAATTCATTTAAGGTCAACAGCCCAAGTACAGACATTATTAGAGGGTATTAAACACAAAGGCAACACAAAACTGCTGCCTGCAACCTTGCACCAATAAGGACTTTTTCCCAGCCTTGACCTGATGGGATATAACCCCAGCCCCATGACTATGCCAGCACCATTTCTTAGGCCTTTGTGTAGCAGAGACAATGCTTACCCTCCCCTTTGTTTTCTAAGGTATAGTAAGGTGCATCACACTGATACCGGACAGCAGCTCTGTACAGAGGCTCTTGAAGTTCGGAGACGTATATGGCTTGGGCATTGTCAATAACAGTGGGATCACCGCAGTTCACAGCTGTAGAGAAGAAACAAAAACGATCAAACACAGTCAAAGGGAAATCCTCACCCAACAATATGATTCTCCTGTATGATAGGGAACCACTTGGCCTCTCTGATCTGTGTACAGTCACCAGTGCTTACTTCCTCTGTCACTTCAGCGTCCCATAGCGGATCGAGACCCTAAAGGCTCCGTTCCGGTCTGCCTCCCACAATACACAGATGGGTCACTTACGAACACAGCTGAACTGGGAGTTGGTCCATTCACCATTCTCCTGACAACTGGAGTCAAAGGTCCTGATGCTGTCTCGTTCCTAGGGCAAAGAACACACAATCCATCTAAGTCACTGGCCATGAAATGTATCTGACACAGGCACTCCAGTGTAGGATCCTCAAAATGCTGTAGTAGCTGGAAGAGGTTTCCACTTACTACAGCTGTGATGAGTTCCCAGAGGTGCCCAGGACAACTAATGGGAAATGGTATCAGGAAGCTGCTGAGAGGGCCAGAGAGGACATATGCCTTTTAATGTTACTTACTCTCACAATTTCATAGCCTTCCATGCAGGTCACCTTCACATTGTCCTTGACAATATACCTGTCCTTCTTTGGGTCCAGAACAGAATTGGGGATGACACTTGGGGGACAGGTTACAGCTTTTAAGAGATAGATGGAAATCAGTGATTAACAGGTTCAGGATTTACTCTCCTTCCAGCTCCCAACTTCTTTCTCCCCGGTGATCATTTTTGCTAGTAAACAGACATCCTTTGTTTGCTCAAATACTAGCAGCTCTGAACATATTAACATGTTGCTGTACCACAACTCTGATCTGGGAAAAATTCTCTCCCTAACCCAGCAGCAGAGGGAACGCTTTCCCAAGTGTTTACTCACGATCTCCATAGTAGCGTATTTTCCAGCCTTTGTGCTGTACTGCATGGTCTGTCTGGAAGATTATGTCAAGTATGTTGCTCCTAGTTTTGATTTCAGAAGGACCTGGGAATTTGCTGCCACAATAGGGACCAAAACGCTGCGTTCCAGAGACAAGCTGGGAAAATAAAAAGCAAGAAGAAATGAGAAATACCGAGTGTATTCAGAGAGATACTTGAATTATATTCAATATATACACATTCAAATGCATTCTCAAGACCTTCAAAAGGCAGTGTAGTTGAAAATAAAGTTAAGCAGTCAGAGGGTTTTCTGAATAGTGGGAGACTGAGGGGAGATCCAGAGAATCCTGACTCCCTCCCGAAACCCCACACCTACTGTTAAGCTGTCGGGGCAGCTTCCTTTTTCATCAGCTGGTTCCACGTTGAAGTCCTCGCTGCGTATGGTCAATGCCACAAAGTACCCTGGCCTCAGAGCCACTCGGTACTCACACCGTGAGTTCTCTGGGTACTCATTGGGATAGTTGGGACTGACAATCTCTCCTGATGGCTCCGTGAAGACATTTCCACTGCAGTTCACTAGGAGTAAGGAAGGAACACGGGTAGGATTCAGAAAGGAAATGGTCCATGTATGAAGGCGACAAGCTTCCCCCCTTCCACTCCATCTCCAGTATCCCCAGTCACCTGCATTAACCATGTCACAACATTGCATCTTTGCAAGAAACTGAAGCCAGGGCTACTCTCTATCCAATTAGCCAAGAACTTTAACTTATACTGGCCTTTCTTTTCACCTGCCACCTGCAATTCAGGCCCTCTTCCACATGCTCAGGTCCTCATATTATAATCTTTTCAACACGCATTTTACAATTTTTTCATTCAAACCAAGCACCCCTTGGCCAGTTTTTAGGTGCCTTTATTGAACTGCCCTGATTTGCCAGAGATTAAAAGATTCACAGATGGCAGTATGCTAAGAAGGGACTCCATCAGAGTCTTTAAAGATTGTAATTTAGTAGTTTCTTAATTCTCTTGACACAAAAAAGAACAATGATAGAAATTTCTAAAATCACTGCCAGTTCAGATTTGCACTGGGATGTTTATTTCCCCAAAATACACCTGTTACAACAGGTTGAGAAGATTGATAAAGAAGGTCCTCCATGTACAATATCTCAGTTGGCCGAAATTAATTCTTGGTGTTGATCACAGGTCATGTAGGTCTCTTACCTCCACACGTTTTGTTATCCTCATAAAGGAAATAATCTGGTGGACAGGTACAGAAGTAACCTCCAATATAATTATTACAGTAATGGCTGCAAGGTTCCTCCACAAAATCCAAACACTCATCCAAGTCTGCAAGTGTGAAAAGATGAATCAGCCAAGATTAGGAGAGGGCCCTAAAGGCAGGAGAAAGATGAGAAAGTGAAGCAAACACTGATGAACAACAAAGCAAAGTATCTCTGAGACAGCATTTATACTGGCCATTTTGGAAGGCAGTCCTGTCTGCTGGGATCTCTTTTAAATAAGGAAGTTGAGCGAGGAAAACTGTTCTGTCAGCTTTCCTGCCCCCTTGGCCTGGACACTACAGAGATTCAGAGGAGGCTGTTTTAACCTTACCCACTGCAACATAGTAGGCTGCAAAACCAGTGAAACGCTCCTCATTGGAAAAGTCTGACTGGAAGCTCACAGTGAGGGTGTTATAAGGGACATGAAATTCCGCCACAACTGGGGAGCCGGGGGTACGAGGTTTCTTCCGCCCACAAAGCACACCTTCAACATGGCCGCCAGACAGGATCTGCAGAAGAATGCAGACAAGTCTTATCTCACTACTGGAATATGTGCCATTACCAACACTTGAGTCTTGCAGCTTATAGGTGGCTAACAAAAAGCTCCTGAATTGCACACATTTCTCAGAGCATTCGAGTGGATCTCCCAGGGCACAGCTATGTCCCATAGCTAGCAGGAGGGACCAAGGCTGCTGTGTCACCCACCGAGCTGGCCAAGGGTGAAAGACAGCTAGCCAGGGTGCAGCCGAACAGAAACCCCTGGACAACCAGTTTTATGACATTTGAAAGATGCTTGAGGAATGTTCCTTCCTACTGACTCCCCAGCTGTGAAACACCTGTCTTAATTTCTCAGATACAAATGAATCCAGAAAGTTCTCTGTTAACATCTTCACTGATTGGATTTAGCCTCCGTCATTTCCAATCGATTTCCGATGGCACTAAATCATCTCTGTCCATGCGTGGATTAATGGTCCTTTTACACCTGCAGTTCACGGGCTAAGAATACGCCTTGCAATAGGGAGGTATCAGTGACGGCTAAGAAGGCTTTTCCTGTGCGTACAGGAGAAACAGGGGGAGGGGGGCATAGATGGGACGCTCAGTTGGCAGACAAGACCCATGTGGTTCTGAGGCAAACCCAAATCACTTTAGCAACTGCTACTGCAGATACACTCAGTCATCTGGCCTTCTCGGGACCCAGAACAGGAAGGACGAGCCTGTCTCCTCTTCCAGCCTCGAGCTTTCTACATAGCTTTGCTGTTCTGTGCTCTAGCCTTCTGGTCTTTTTCTCACTTGAGGATGGAGACAGTACCTTCACAAAGTCATAATCGCAGGTCTGTGACGGTTCGAGATCCATGTGTGTGAAATAAAGGCGAATGCCATATCCTGAAGGGACCTGGATTTCCCAGGATTCCTGCGCATCGTTGGGATACACCTGAGGATAATTGGGAGACAGGATCTCACCATACATGGAGGCTGCATCAGCCCAGACAGGGAGGTAGAGGATCAGGTACCTGAGAAAAGAGGAAGAGAGACAATATTGCATTAGTCTTCTCTGTCCACGAACACACAGAGTCCCTAGTGAAAACGCTAGTCTTCAGCTGTGCATACCATGTGGCACAGCTCCTGGCTTGAAAGTTTTAATGACCAATTGTGTGGGGCTTGTATTTCTCCTGTAGCCTTTCACACAGAGGCAGCACAACCTCAGTCATGCTCTCTGTTCCTCTCCAGCTCCGCAAGAGTCGGTAATGCTGCAGGAGTAGAACACAAGGATCTTAAGTGCTATTTCCTACTTTACTGCCTTGTTCTGAGCTACTGGGGCTATAGCTACATTCAGATTTGAGAGTCAGGATGGTACTGCAGGAATAACACCTAATTTATAGAAGTAAATTATCAATAAACCTGAGTTCCCCTTGGAGATTCAGTAACTCACCACATCTGGAAAAAGCAGATCGTCCTTTTCAAAAACTTTCAGGAATTGGACTTTGGAACTATGGTCTAGGACAAAAAACAGTGTGATTGATTAATGTCCACTGTGCTTCTATGTGTCTGCTAGGCAGGTCAAAGACCCTAACACCCCAGCTTGTGGAGAATCTTGCCTCAAAATTTTGCCTCAAAAGCCAGATTATATCCTTCCTGCACACAGTAACCCCAACCATCAAGAAGGGATGCCAGGCTCTGTATTGACAAAATGGAGAGATGATCTCTACCTCGGTACTCACTGGTGCTCACGTTCTCCCCTTGTGACCATCAATGTCTTCAAACACGATGCCGGTGCACAGCAAATTAAGAGAGAAAGCACCTCCCCTTCCCCCCCCCCCGCAGTACAAATCCATTCTTCCCAGCACCTAAGAAGTTATTCTAGGACCCTGGGGTTGAGGAGCAACTTGTCCTGACTCTTCTAGCTGTCAGGCAGTGTCAGCTTTTTTCCCTTCTCATTGCTAATGCTGTCAATATTTACCTTCTCTCTCTAGTTCGTGTCTGGTTTTCTTCTCTCTTCCATTTTCTCTCTCTTTTCTCTTCCTGTGAACACTCTCCTTCCTCCAAACGGACCCTAGGCTGGGGTCTGGGGAGGAGAGCTCTAATTCGCAATATCACAGCACCCTCTGTCTGCGGGACGGCTCCCCAGCCTTCTCACTCGGGTGAGATAGATGCTCGGCTCGCCGGCTCTCGGTAGGAAAGGGAATTTCCAGAACAAGTTGCACAACCCTGTTGGCTCCCGCTGCGCGGGGGAGCGCACAGATGCGGGCTGTAGCAGGCATTTTCGGGAAATCAGATGACTTTGGGGAAAAGGGAGGGGGGGACAGAGTTTTCGTCTGCCTCCCCTCCTCTTCCTTCTCCCTTTTAAAAGTTAGGAACAAAATCCAAAGGGTGTAGAAAAGGGAGAGTCCACGTGAGAACAGGTCCAGTGCTTTCACATGGAAAAAAAATGTTTGATTAACTTGTCCAGGGACTACTTTGCCAAAGTCCACTCTGTTACCACAACCCGGTGGCCACAGGGCTGCCACTCATCTGATGCTTCAGAGACCCTTTTTTAGGGGGAAGAGTGGAAAAGATAGTGGTCTATTCAATGTTGTGCCTCTGGGGCTACCAACGGGCAGTAAGAGTGCATTGTTTTGCCGGGTTTTGTTACGAGAACGCACCCAAGTGTGAGAACTTGACTAAGAACTCATAGCTACCTCCTTATTTACCAAGTGAACCACATGTAAGAGCAACTATTTGTCAGACTTAGTCCTGGACTAAGATAGATCTAAGACCCTTAAGGAATAAAGTGTCAAGACTTAGGCCAGGTAGGACCCTTGATCCAGCCGGTGCCCACAAGCCAAGACCACAACCCCACCATACAAGCTAAAAGAACTGTCACTAATACTCCAGAAAAACCCTCCTCCTTATAAACCAAATGCACTGGGACCAGACTATAAGTGAAAACATAGAACTCCATTACAACCTCTACCTTTTACAAGCACAGCACACTCCAAAGCTTGTTTTAGCCAGGAAAAGCATTATTCAAGTTTCAACAGGCCATAGGCAAAGTGTGTTAGCAAAGCCCAGCTGCAAGACTCCTTTGTATTGTCAAGGGAAACAAACACCTACAGATGAATCATAACTGATTTCATTGTAGTCAGGATAAAGGCTTTACCTGAAGAACATGCCTAGTCTACTTTCTTTGTCAGACTGAGAACGGATAGAGAAAGAAAACAGCGTGTCATCTCACTTCTGATGTCTCTTGGGAGCACAGCTTGATGTTTCTAACTGGAATTTTGAGAACCAGGAAAATGGTGATGAAAGATACACAACAAATCATGGGGCAACGTTTTCTCCTTCAAACTGGGCCAGTGACTCTTCGAGTCACAATCAGATTTTCAAACGGGCACAGCAGAAGTAAAACGAGTGTGGGCTGATATATTATGCATGTCATTTCATCTCAGGGGAACGGTATATTCTCACATAGACCTAACTCAACTTGCCTGTAGCAGGGGTAAATGAATATGTGTGTGAATATTAATAATTACTTAGACAACTTACAGCTCTTAATTAAGAAAAAGATTGCCAAAGTTAGTTAAATAAAAAGGTAGTTGCATTTTATCTGGGCACATATCTGCATAACGCTAACTATTTAAGCAGAAGGCTGGTGATATTGATGTATATATTTATATTGAATACACATACAGCATTTGCCTAGATCTGCATTGTTTCTACAATTCAAAGACAAAAGAGTGAGGTAATATATTTTACAATTCACTGAAATAATGTTAGAAATTACATTAAAATAATATTTCAAAAGAGGCAAAATCACCCCATTAAGGTTAATAAATGGTAACGCTGTTTGCCAGTGCAATATAATTCATCTCAGAGGCACACACATTCTCTTAAATTCCTAAATTACATAACCACACACTACTCTGCCCAAATTGCATAAGACCTTAAGATGACTCAGAGCTGTGTAGCTGTAACCTTTCTGCCAGACGTTACAAAGTGCAGAAGTGTTTCAGTTTTCATAAAGTTACCATTTGAAACAGGCTTGACTGGCTTGTCTTCCCCCAGGAAGTTCAGAGAAAAAGAGGTTTTCCAAAGTTCTTAAGAGAAGCCACACTTTCCCATCTGGAAACACTGAGTCAGTGCACAAAACAAAGGGAGTAAATGTCAAAAGAGAACATGTAACATTAACTAGGTGAAAACCATTTTCAAGGATACTTAAGTAGCAAGCGAAATATCCTTGATCTACCAAGAGCCTGGCAGCAATTTGCCTGTTTCACGTTCTGCCAATCAAAGGATTCAGTGGGTTTCTTGCATGCCCCGCTTCCCCTCCTCGCTTTTGTGACGCAGCTCAGTTTTGTTGCCAGTGGTTAAATTCAGTGCCTTGGCTAAATCCCAGGAAAATCTGCCTGTGCACTAGCTCCAAAGTGCTTGGTGTAAGCCACCGATTTCCACCTCCGGATACCGTAGGAAGCAGACTTTCACCCAAGTCCATTCACCTCTTTTACTCCCTCCAGCACTGAGTCCCAATGCAAAGCCCTCATCACCTCCCAGTACAATCTTGGGCTTGGGACCATCCCGCTCCATGCACAGTGCACGTGAGATGCCTGCTGCCTTCTGGAATACTTTGCCCGCAACCACGGGTGTAGCTTCAGGCAGCCGTGACCATGTGTCACAGACACGGATACCCACGCAGGTGACACGCCAGCTTCCTACAAAACAGAGGCCCCATAGTCCTTGTTCCCAC